GTGCATGGGAGGTGAGTAAAGGATCAGGAGACCTCGTTTGCGAGGGCATGATGTCATTCGATTGGCCTAACGAATTCCTGAAACGATCAGAATATTCAACAATCTCAACGATGCTTACTTGTTACCATCTGGTAAGTGTTCCAGCCCATTAGACAATTTCCGCGGATTCTGACCATTGTTGCCAACTGTAGATGAGATGGAATGGACACGATTGTGAGTGTAAATTGGTCTGTTGCGTGTTAAAACTTCTATATCTTACAAATTGAAGGGAGAAGCAGAGCGTGGCCCTCGTGATCGCGATGGGCGGACTTTATCCCTGTCCAGAGGTTATCGAAGCTATTCTGAACCCTGAAGATGGCCAAACCAAGCACATTCTAGATATAGGTATGCATAAAGTTCCATTTCAACCTTTAATTATGAGCTTATACTAATTTGGACTATAGGTTGTGGAACTGGTTCATGGTGTGTGGCGCTTATGCGCTTATCGATCATATAACAATCTAAAAAACTAATGGATCTATCAGGGCTGCTGAAATGGCACGTCGGTTTCCGCACGCATCGGTCCTAGGAGTTGACTTAACTCCACCTCCAGTGGACACCGGGGTATTTCCATCCAACTTACAATTCGAAATCGATGATATCAATAATGGTCTATCCCACTTCTATGATCAATACGATCTCGTTCACCTTCGTTGCGTCATGGGCGGAATCAAGAACATCGACGAAAGTATCGTCGAATTGCAAAAATGCCTCAAGCCAGGAGGTGTTTTACTCATAATAGAAGGGGATATGAGTATTTTCGAAACGAGGGAGATACCAGCGAGGTTGAAGAAGCTCCCTGGAGATCCGGACGTCAGTAGCGTGAGCGAGGATGGATCTTGGCTACGCAGGATGGTACTAGGTGAGAATTGGGTACCTATAATTTACTATTGTTGGGATTCTGATTCATTACCTCAACAGAGGCGTGCACGGCGAGTATGATGGCGGGTTCCTGTATGAACCGCTCCAGTGAACTATTCGATTTGGGTCTTTGGGACTATCCTCTTATGGATCCGGAGACTGCCAGAACTGGTGGGTTATACCTCCCAATTGGCCCTTGGCCGAAGGGTATGTTTTCTGCTGATCTCAAAGAAATTTATTCGATACTCATGTTGCACAGCATCGAACACTATTGACACCCAAATTCTTCAGTATGGCGGCATATTGATGCGACAAAGCTTTCTCAATATTCACCGAGCATACCATGCAATACTGTTACAACACGGAATGAGTCAAGAAGTACTAGACGAATGGTCTAGGAATGTAGATACGGGTGAGCATTAGCTTTAACATACTCTTTCCCTACTTCAGCCGAAGCATGTTATACTTTTGTGTTTGACTGGCTAATCTTTATCTTGTAGAACTGACCAATCAAAGGAAAAAGCTTTGGGTCCGATTTCGATTCTGTTGGGGTCGTCGACGAGCCGGAGAGGACCTCCCAGCTCCGTCACTGCCTCCGAGACCACAACGATCATCTCCATCCCAAACGCCCCCGCCATCTCCTGGCCGAGGTGGCCCCATTCCTCCCGAGATCAGGGACTTCCGGCGCCCTCCCGGACACCGGTATCCTGCATTCGAAGTCTTCATGACCAGGGAAGAGGCTAGAGATGAGCTCCGTCGAAGAGAGGGAAATATCGGTGAGCTGCCAGAGATGGTGGTTCAGAAGACCTGGCGCAGTATACAGGATTGCGAGAATCAGGGCACATCTTCTCAGCCGACCAGTGATGTTGTGAATCAATCCAATATGACCGATTCTCCCGCAGAATAGCGGTCGAGTATTCGGTCAACCATAACCATGCTCCTTATTTGACCCTTG